TTTTTACCAGCAGCTGTATGCCAACAAACTAGGCAATCTGGAAGAAGTGGATGCATTCCTGGATACTTATAAACTACCAGGATTGAAACAGGAAGAAAAAGATAATCTGAACATACTAATAACCAGCAAGAAAATTGAAGCAATAATCAAAAACCTCCCAAAAAATGAGACTCCAGGGCCAGACAGCTTCCCAGCAGCATTCTACCAAACACTGAAAGAAGAAATCACACCTATTCTACTGAAGCTGTTCCAAAAAATAAAAATGGAAGGAAAATTTCCAAACTCGTTCTATAAGACCAGCATTACCCTGATCCCAAAACCACATAAAGACCCAAATGATTCTCTGAATTGATGCAGAAAAGGCATTTGACAAACTACACCATCCTTTTCTGACTAAAACTCTTCAAAATATAGTGATAGAAGGAACATACCTCAGTATCATAAAACCATCTATGAAAAGCCCATAGCAAATATCATTCTCAATGGGGAGAAACTGAGAGCTTTTCCCTTAAGGCCAGGAACATGACAGGGATGCACACTTTAACCACTTCTGTTCAACATAGTACTAGAAGTCCTAGCCTCAGCAATCAGAAAACAAAAAGAAAGAAAAGGTATTCAAATTGGCAAAGAAGTTAAACTCTCTCTCTTTGCAGATGACATGATGCTGTATGTGGAAAACCTGAAGACTCCACCCCCGAATTATTAGAACTCATATAGCAATTCAGCAACATGGCAGAAAACAAAATCAATGCACAGAAATCAGTGGCATTTCTATAAACTAACAATGTGACTAAAGAAAGAGAAATTAAGGAATCAATTCCACTTACAATAGCACCAAAAACTACAGATACCTAAGAATAAACTGAACCAAAAAGGTAAAGGATCTATCCTCTAGAAACTACAGAACACTTATGAAAGAAATTGAGGAAGACACAAAGAGATGGGGAAATATTCCATGTTAATGGTTTGAAGGAATAAACATTGTTAAAATGTCTATCCTGCCCAGAGCAATCTACACTTTATCTCTATCAAATAGAGATAATCTATTTGAAAAAATCTCTATCAAAATACCATCAACATTTTTCAAGACCTGGAACAAACAATCCTAAAATTTGTATGGAACCAGAAAAGACCTGAAATTGCCAGGGGATTGTTGAAAAAGAAAACCAAAGCTGGGGCACCACAATGCCTGACTTCAAGCTACATTACAAAGCTGTGATCACCAGAATAACATGGTATTGGCACAAAAATAGACACACAGAGCAATGGAACAGAAGAGAGACCCCAGAAATGGACCTTCAAACTCTATGGTTAACTAATCTTCAACAAAGCAGGAAAGAATATCCAATAGAGGGGCACCTGGGTGGCTCAGTGGGTTAAGCCGCTGCCTTCGGCTCAGGTCATGATCTCAGGGTCCTGGGATTGAGTCCCGCATCAGGCTCTCTGCTCAGCAGGGAGCCTGCTTCCCTCTCTCTCTCTCTCTGCCTGCCTCTCTGTCTACTTGTGATCTCTGTCTGTCAAATAAATAAATAAAATCTTAAAAAAAAAAAAGAATATCCAATAGAAAAAAAGTCTCTTTAACAAATGGTGCTGGGAAAATTGGACAGCCACATGCAGAAGAATGAAACTCGACCATTCTCTTATACCATACACAAAGATAAACTCAAAATGGGTGAAAGGCCTTAATGTGGGACAAGAATCCATCAAAATCCTAGAGGAGAACATAGGCAGTAACCTCTTCGACATTGGCCACAGCAACTTCTTTCATGACATGCCTCTAAATGCAAGGGAAACAAAAGTAAACATGAACTCTGGGATTTCATTAAGATAAAATCTTCTGCACAGCAAAGGAAATAGGTAACAATACTAAGAGACAACACATGGAATGGGAGAAGATATGTGCAAATAACATTACAGATAAAGGGCTGGTATCCAATGTCTATAAAGAACTTCTCAAACTCAACACCCAAAAAAGAAAGAATCCAGTCAAGAAATGAACAGAAGACATAAACAGACACTTCTCCAAAGACATACAAATGGCTAACAGACACATGACAAAATGTTCAACATCACTAGCCATCATGGAAATACAAATCAAAACCACAATGAGATGGCACGTTACACCATTAAATGGCATAATTACCAAGACAGGAAACAACAAGGTTGGTGAGGATGTGAATAAAAGGGAACCCTCTTATGCTGTTGGTGGGAATGGGAGCTGGTACAGCACTCTGGAAAACCATATGGAAGTTCCTCAAGAAGTTAAAAATAGAGTTACCCTATGACCCAGCAAATGTACTAGGTATTTACCCCAAAGATACAGATGTAGTGAAAAGAAGGGGCACATGCACTCCAATGTTCATAGCAGCAATGTCCACAATAACCAAACTGTGGAAGGAGCCGAGATTCCCTTCAACAGATTAATGGATAAAGATGTGGTTCATATATACAGGGAATATTACTTAGTCATCAGAAAGATGAATACCTACCATTTGCACTGACATGGGTGAAACCGGAGGGTATTATATTAAGTGAAATAACTCAATCAGAGAAAGACAATTATCATATGGTTTCACTCATATGTGGAACATAATGAATAGTATGGAGGACCTCAGGGGAAGGGAGGAAAAACTGCAAAGAAATCAGAGAGGGAGACAAACTATGAGAGACTCTGGAATCTGGGAATCAAACTGAGGGTTACAGAAGGGAAGGGAGTAGGGAAATGGAGTAACCAGGTTATGGGTATTAAAGAGGGCATGTGTGGTGTTGAGCACTAGGTGTTATATGCAACTGATGAATCACTGAACACTACATCAAAAAGTAATGATGTATTATATGTTGGCTAACTGAACATAATTTAAAAAATAATTTAAAAAGAAAGCAAAAAAAACAAAAAACAAAAAACAGAAAACAAACAAACAAACCTGATTTTGAAGCACCAAAGAAGAAAAAATAATAAAACAATTCTGGGAAGAAGTCAGCATGCTTCTGTGGGTCCTTCTTTGGAAGAAGTAAATTTGTATTTATGGGGGTGCCTGGGTGGCTCAGTGGGTTAAAGCCTCTGCCTTCAGCTCAGGTCATGGTCCCAGGGTCCTGGGATCGAGCCCAGCATCGGGCTCTCTGCTTGGCAGGGAGCCTGCTTCCTCCTCTTTCTCTGCCTGCCTCTCTGCCTACTTGTGAACTCTGTCTGTCAAATAAATAAATAAAATCTTTAAAAAAAATTTGTATTTATGAAAATGACTTTTGGGTGCCTGGGTGGTTCAATTGGTTAAGTGCCTACCTTCAGCTCAGATCATGGTCCCAGGGTCCTGGGATCAAGCCCCATGTAGGGGTCCCTGATCAGTAGGAAGTCTGCCTCTCCCTCTCCCTCTGCCTGCTGCTCTCCCTGCTTATGCCCTTTTTCTCTCTCTCTGACAAATAAAATATATTTTTAAAAGTGACTTTCAATTGAAATGGTCCCTGAAAAAGGGAATCCTGTGTTTTTAACTTATACAAATTTTAAAGATAACAGTGAAATTGTAAAAATTTAACATCTCCATAGACCATCCCAAACCCTCCCACAAACTCCTTTAGGCTCTAGTTTGAGAAAGAATAGTTTTGCCAGAAATTTTAGGCTGAAGTTTCCTGTCACAAGGTGCAATAAGCTCATTTTTACCAACTGAACCAATTTCAACCTTTCCATCTTGCCACATCTCTTCTTTCTAACAAAGAAAGCTTGGCTTACATTTTGCTAATATCTGTTTTTGTATTTTGGTTACTCTTCCCCACTTAGCAAACTTCACTGGCTATGTTTGTTAAGTTAAAGAAAAACTTTTCCAATAAGCTTTTGATCCTGAAGTACACTCAAAACCTCTGCATTCCATAAACTCTCATCCCTGAACAAAGACAAAGTACTATATATATTTAATGATTAACATATAAATAATATATGTTAATTACATATTCTTATGTATATGAATATGTATGTGTGCTGGTATGTGTTTCTGTGTTAGTGTAAAGGTTATCTATTTGCTTTACTTGTGTATATATTCCATCTTCTCACCTAAATCCAGAGATTCTTGAGGTTTCTCCATTGTTATCCCATTTTAACAAAAAAAGTCTTCCTGATGGTTCAAGTAGCCATAGCTACCATTAGAAAGCATGCTATGTTACCAGTGTGCTCTCTAAATTTTTATTTACCTCACAGTAAACTAATCTTAAGTACTTCTACTGGCTTAATTTCATTGTAATTTCTGTTAGATGGGTTGACTTACTAGGGAAATAAGCTTTACTTGTCTTGGTTTGAAGTTATGTTTGCCTATATGTACAAAGATAAGAGTTTATGCAGATTACAATAGGGAATTGCCTATCTTAGATAGCAGCTGAAGCCTAGGCTCTGAAGCTGGAATGTCCAGGTTTGAATTCAGCCTCCACTTCTTACTTGTTACTTCATTTTGGGCAAGTTGCTTGATGTCTCTGACATTTTTTATTTTAAAAAAGTGGGGGGGGGGGGAGTTGTACTAATTCTAAACTCATAGAGTTTCTTTGAAAATGAACTAAGATAATCCAGGTAAAGCATTTTTGTATGGTTTCTAGGCCAAAGTAAGAACCAGCTTTTCAATAGAAGGTCAATATAATTTTTTCTTTACAGTAAGGTTAACTTTCAGGTGCCTGGATGGCTCAGTCAGTTAAGCATCTGCCTTCAGCTCAGGTAGTGAACCCAGGGTCCTGGGATGGAGCGCTGCATCTCGCTCCCTGCTCAGAAGGGAGCCTCCTTCCCCCGTTCCCATGGCCCCCACCCCGGCTCGGGCTTTCTCTCTCTTTGTTTCTCAAAAAAAAAAAAAAAAAAGGTAAGGTTAACTTTCTCCTTCCATTTTATACAACTACCTTTCCTACCTACATGATCACTAAGGTTTACTAGGCCAAATTACCACCCACAATTCAACATCAATTTAAGGTAATTACATACACAAGAATTTATAACAACAAATTATGTTATGCTTGCATATATCATAACTTACCCCTCAATACCCAAATGGCACCATCTAGGCTTCCACTTTTTAGAAAAATTTCTGCTGCAATATTCACAATTTGACATCTTGGTGCTAGCTTCTCAGGCCCTGTAAGTCCTTTTAAACTTGTGAAATGTATTTTTAATTCATATAATTTATCTAAGACTTTCCTTCCCTAGAGTAAAAATAAAGAATATTGAGTATTACTCATTTAGAGTATCACAGAAATAAAACATCAGTAGTTGTACAGAAGTCAATTACCCAATTTGAATTATCCTTCTAGACAGATGGTTCTCAAAAGACTCTTCCCTTAACGCCCTCCTGCTTAGCCACAGAGACAGATGAGGGAAGGACCCTGCTAACACCTCTTTCCAAGTGTTTTTATACTTGTGCTTCCCCTAAAGATTTCATTTGGAGAAAGGATTTCTTGCCCTAAAGTGGAAAACTAGTAACTATACATTTTTATACTTCTGTTGATCACCCTAAGAGCCAAGAGGGAGAGAAAGAGAAAAATCAAGGTAATGTCTTATAAAATTTACATAAAGAATGATAGTAGGGAAAAGAAAAGAATAAAACTGCTGGCTGAAAATTGTTTTTTATTCAACAGACTATTTCACATAGTCTACATAAAGATTATATCTCATTTGGACATCAGAAATTAGACATACAGTATTTTTTTTATAAGAGGTCAGCAAACTTTTCCTATAATTAGCCAGATAGTAAACACTTGGGCTCTGCAGGTCACATTTGGTCAGCTGCACATTCTTTTTGGTTGTTGCTGTTTTTGTTTTCTAATGCCTTAAAAATATAAAAAACATTCTTAGCCCTTGAAATATACAAAAACAGGCTGTGGGTCAGATTGGGCTCTTAGTTTGTGGATCCTGGTTTTATATTATAGTCTATCCTATCTGAGTCAGATCCATATTGTGATGTTAAGGTACTTTTAAGTTGATTATAGAAATGAATGCATTTTTAAGGAAAAAGCTCTAGCTTAATTTCAATGGTTTTACTTTTGTGTTCAAAAGGAATAGGTTTCACTAAAAAAATTCATACTAAGTAAAATAAATAAAATATTCATTCCAAATAAGATACTGAAAATTTTAAATTACGATACAGGCACAAACTCACCAGCCTCTTGAGAAATAATCACAATGAATAAAATAAAAATACACTCTAAAATTTCAACAAAATCAATCTTTGTCAAAAATACTGTGCTATGTAGTCCTCAACGTCCCAAGCATTAAATATCTAAGAAATTAATGCTATGATGAAACTTAAGCTAGACTATGAGACTAGGGACAAGCTATATTCTGCCCATTGCAGGCCTACAACCACACAGTGAATGCTAACCTTTTGAAGACCTTAAAGACTGGAGACCTTATGTACAAGGATTCTGTTGTTGTTGTTTTTAATTTTTAAAAAAATCAATGAATTTGTATGTGTATGAGTGACCATGTACTTATATGTTACTGAACATATTTCTTTATGAAATAACCTTATTTTGTAAGAAGAAAGAAGCAACAAAAGATACATTATAATAGCTGATTCAGTACTGACCACATTTTCAACTGCTCCATTCATCCCTCAGAAATCCCTTCCTATTTTAGATTTTTCCTGTCCTCTACTTTACTTCACTTTGTTGAATCTACAACCACCTGTCACCTCAGAGAAATCTAAAGAATGGTAGTTCAGTATGGTCCAGAATAACTAGACCACTTCTAAGGTGAGCTAAACCTCAAAGGTAGATATCAAGATATATGGTCTAAGTGTTCCAGGAGGTGATTTTTAAGGAGTTCTGTTAATTCTGAGTTCCCTGGGTTCATCTTAAAAAAGGTGTCTGGAACTTATGCAAAATTATAATGTTATAAATCCTTAAGAAGAAGCAAAACTCTGTATTGAAAGTTGCTTCAAATAAATAGGATACTTAGCATACTTCTGACACTTCTTCAGGGTAACTGGTCTCATGCTACTGCCTTCCACATTTGCCTAATATACTACCTAATAATTCACTTACTAGTCTGGGACTCATTTTGCCGCTTATAACAATAATTAGGAGATTTCTAATTTGCAGGGTTAACTATATTGTTAAAAAAATTTTAAATTCACACACTCTGTACCAACCCCAAACAAAAATTTAATGACATACCTTGGACCACTGCAACAGCTTGTGATAGTAGTACATAGCACTGATTCCAATTCTTCCCAGCAAAGTTTTATCTACTTCACTATTTTGTGGATCTTTGCTAACTGAAACACAAAGTAGGCATATCAAAAAAAGTGAAAAAGTAATTTAAAATGGCAGCAAAGACTAAGTGATATGAAATTATTGACACTAGAACAAAGACCAGGTGTTGGTAAACCACAGCCTACAGGACAAATCTGGCCTGTGGCCTGTTTTTGTATAGCTTGTGAGCTAAGAATGGTTCCCCTATTTTTAAAGGGTTGCTTGAAAGGAAAAGAAAACTATGTGTGATCGCATCTGATAGCGTGAAGCCTAAAATATTTCTGCCCTTTGCAGAAAAGGTTTGCTGACCTCTGATTAAAAATACAGCAGTGAAGGGGCACCTGGGTGGCTCAGTGGGTTAAAGCCTCTGCCTTCAGCTCAGGTCATGATCCCAGGGTCCCAGGATCGAGCCCCACATCAGGCTCTCTGCTCAGCGGGGAGCCTGTTTCCCTCTCTCTCTCTCTGCCTGCCTCTATGCCTACTTGTGATCTCTCTCTCTCTGTCAAATAAATAAATAAAATCTTTAAAAAAAAAAATACAGCAGTGAAGAGCTCATACAAAAAAAAAAAAGTCTCAGAAACATATGAATTTTGTTGACTTATACTAGTGAAGGTAGTAACAACTTTAATGATTCAAAAATTCAAGTGCTCCAGTACAATTTGCTAGCAATAGTTTTACCAATCTGAATGAAAAGACAGATAAGAAAATGAAACATGAGTTGTTAAAACAATTCTTGACCTTATATCATTATAATCTAACTTGATAATAAAGAGATGAAAGATTTATAAAGAGAAGGAAAAGTATCTGAAATCTGCAATATCAACTTATCCCCAACATGGAAAATAGTAAGGGCTTTACATTCCTGTTAAAACACTGCACCATCCTAATACACACAATACTTAAACCCGAAGAGTGACATTTTACCTGTTTCAGCAAATTCGCAAAATGGAACACCTGGTCTCTCTTCTTTACAGTCTTTTGTTAATGTTTCAGCAATACAAGCACAAAATCTCTGGAAATCTGCAAAGTTTTCACAGCCCATTTTTATGTTAATGTATAAATTTCCCAGTTTGGTCCAGTCACCTTTTTCTTTACAATGCTATCAGAATTATTAGAAACAAAACAAGAAAAAAAGAAAGAAAGAAAGCTTTCATTTATAAAAAACGTATTATGGAATAGACACATGTAGGCATTAGATATACAGAAATTAATAACACAATCTCTGTAGATCTCAAAAACTTACTGACAATGTTACACCACCAATAACTTGCTATTGTGCAATTTGGGTTTCTGACTATAGCATAGTCTCTGTAAGTTCCAGATGGCAATGTACATCTCTTTTAATAACCTTTTCATAATGTACTTAATGATGTCACCCCAAAACCTGAACTAGACAGTGGAGATAAGTTTTATGGAAAACAGATGATTAGCTATATAGTTTGAGCTGTCTCTGTAGAAATACATTATTTTACTTTTAGAGATTTTACTTTTAGAGTAAACTTTGAGAGATTGCATTTTGCTATTATTTGGCCCCATTAATAATTTGGGGCCCAAATATCATTTTGGGCACTACATCTTTTGTGTGAAAGGGACTACAAAGTAAATTTCAGTAAACTTACCATCTTCTCATTATTTTCTATTATAAACAAAGAAACACTTTTCCACACCAACATAAGATTATTTCAAAGATACAAATACTAATTAAGACTAGACCAACAATTCCTAGATGAGTATAAAAATGATCTTAAACTAAACAGTAAAATCATCTTGAAAGTTCTCTATTTCTTATACTCCAAATGCCTGGAGAGGGCACAATGACCTTGGCTTTCCACTATCATTTCACATACTGCAGCCATCCATGGATTATGGTAAGAAAGCCAACTTTCTTGTGCACCAAGTCTGTCCGGCGACAAGAATTAAAGGCTAATAAGCCTTAGATTATTATACTTAATATGTTAATTTTGAAACTGAACAATTATTTTTAGAATAGTCCATAACTCTAGAAATTGTTTGCATTTCAAAGTGTTAAAAAAATATTAGACTTCTTTCCCTTGAGAATTTTCTCTGTATAACAAGAGGGTTTAAAAAAACTTTACCCTCTATTCAAAGTTTCTTTGTTATTACTGGTTTTCAGAGATCCCAGCAATTTATTTAAAAAAAAATAAGTGTCATACCTCTATTTCATTCAAGGCTGAATCTAAATTACATTTCCAGTTCTTTTTAAATTGCCTCATCCGCAACCTTTAACAATAGAAAAGGGTTAATTATGTTTATCCTCCAAAAGTCACTACTGCCCCTAATTCACTTGTTCTATAGTTTATATCTAAGAAACTAGAAAAGAAGGAAAGTAGTAAAAATTCTTAAGAGCTAAAGAAAATAGCAAATGCATAGATATCTACTTCACACTATTTCTCCTCAAACCATAGGCAACAAGAAGGAAAAAGCAAGTTCCACATGAAACCGTACTTTCAGCCTATAAGGTAACTTTAATACAGAGAATGCCAAAGCTTCAAAATGATTATGGATAAAAAGAGAAAAAAATCATTAAAGCCAGTACTTGATCTTTCCTACTCCCACTCTACCCTTGCTGACCCAACAAGGATTTGTGATAAGCAGAAATAGACCAAAATAAAAACAATGCAAAAAAATCTGTGGAAAACTGAACAGGAAGGACTTAACATTGATTAAAAATATACTACCACAATGACTAAGTCCACATTAAGTTTGAAAATGCTAAAAAAAAAAAAAAAAAATCTGAGTAGATTAGAACACAAACCACATAGAATGAACTTAAAATTTTGTTTGTGATTTAAAGAACACAATCTATAAAATGCATAGCTTCTGGGAAAGGAAAAAAAAAGACAAAAATTAAAGAAGTAGCATCCTTTGGCAACTGAAAACAGAAAAAGGAGAAAAAAACACTGTACCATTAAACTAAGAGTACTATATAGCTGCCAACTCTGGGGTCAATTTTGATAATTAGTCCCAATGCTCAATAAATTATTCCAGAGCATTAAAAAGGAAGGACAACTTCCTAATTCCTTTCACGGATCAAATATAAATAACACTGATACTTCAACCAGATAAAGGTAGAACAAAGAAAAGTGTAAAACAATATTACTTATAATGATGTTGCAAAAGCTAGATAAAATATTAACAAACAAATCAGTTTTTCAAATTGAGTTAGGGAATGATGGTTGTGATGGTTGCACAACAATGTGAATGTGTTTAATACTACTGAACTGAACACTTAAAAATGGTTAAGATAGTAAGTTTTATATTAAGTGTATTTTACCACAAAATTAAAAAAAAATTGACAAACAGAATCCAAGACCACCTTAAGAAAATGACACACCATGACAAAGTGGTATTTACTTCACAAATATAAGGTAACTTCAATATTTAAAAATCCATCAGTATTATATACCATTTTAATAAGTCTAACAGAAAAATTCATGATTTCCATAAATATTAAAAAGGCAGTGATAACATTAATTCACTTACAAATATAGGAACTAAGAGATACTTCCTTAAAGTGATTAAATATATATACTGTAGTCCTAAAGACATGACTGTATTTAATGAGAAAATTCTAGAGATATTTCCACTAAGATCAGGAACAATGAAAGGATGTTCACTATATCCATTATTATTCAATACTATACTAGAAGTATGAGCCAAGGCAATTAGATAAGGCAAATTACTTATAGGCATAACAATGGAAAAGAAGAACTAAAACAATCTCTATTCACAAATGATATGATAGTATACCTGGAAATGCCCACAGATTCAAAGATGAAAATAGCTCAAACAATAAAGACTTTAGAGAGAATTAACAGAATATAAAATTTACAAACAAAATGTCCTTTATATATACAAAAAAAAACACAGCACATAATGATACAAAAAAATTCATTTATAATAGCAACAAAGATTAAATACTTATAAGAGGAAAATTCTAAAACACTCCTGAAAGACACATAAAGTATGAACAATAGAAAAAATTTCATGTTCTTTAATAGAATTCAATATTATAAAGATGTTAGTTCTTACTAAGTTTAATTCATAGATTTAATGTAATTCCAATAAAAATACAAACAAGCTACTATATGAGGTTAGGAAATTTATACTAAAGTCCATGTGGTTTTTAAAAACATACATGCAAGAAGAACAAGAAAGACATGGAAAAGAAAAATTTTGCAGGGGATTATCCCAACAAAATGTTAAAGCATACTACTAAAGCCTCTATAATTAAAACACTGTGGACCTGGTACAGGGGAATACAAAGTCCAGACACAGACCCAAGCACATATGAACTTTAGTATATGATAAAGGCAGCATCTCAAATCATTCAAAATTAACAAATGGTTCTGGGAAAGCTGGACAAAAAGTGGGAAAGAATTAGATCTCTATCTTACACCACACATAAGAATAAACTTCAAATAGATTATGAACCTAACTACAAAAATGAAGCCATACAAGTAAAAGAAAACGTGTGAATTCCTCCAAAACCTTGGTGCAGGGAAATTATGACTCAAAATCCAGATGCAATAAAAAATAACTATGACTCAAAACTGAGGCAATAAAAAAAGACTGATAATTTAGGTTGAACAAGAATAAAAGTTTTTGCATGGCGAAAGCCACCATAAACAAATTCAAAAGATAACGGACAAACTGAAAAAAAATATTTGTAATATATAATGCTATGGTCTAATACAATATATTAAGAACTCTTGATACTTAAGGAACAAAGAACCAGAATCAAAACAACAAGTACAAAAATGAAAAGAAAATGTTCAACTCATTTATAATAAAAGAAAAGCAAATTAGGTCTCCAGAACTTAATAATGTTATAACTGCAACTCTGTACCCTTTGGCTAACATCTCCTCATTTGCCCCATTTTCCATCTCCTGGTAACAGCCACTATTCTAATTTGTTGCTGAGTTAGACTTCTTTAGATTCCATATCTAAGTAAGATCATACGGATTTGCCTTTCTTCATCTGCCTTATTTCATTTAGTATAATATACTCCAGGTTAATCCATGATGTCACAGATGGTAGGGTAACCTTCTTTTTAAAGACTGAATAATATATATTCCATTGTATATATACACCACATCCTATTTTGTTCTTATTACTCAAGATTGCTTTAGCCATTCAGGTTATGTTGTAGTTTCATATGCATTTTGAAATTGTTTTTTCTATTTCTGTAAAAAAATGGTAATAGAACTTTGATAGGAATTGAATTAAATTTATAGTTAGTTTGGGTAGCATGGACATTTTCAAAATATTAATTCTTCCAATCCATGAACACAGAATATCCTTCCATTTATTTATTTATTTATTTATTTTTAAAGATTTTATTTATTTACTTGACAGAGAGAGATCACAAGCAGGCAGAGAGGCAGGCAGAGAGAGAGGAGGAAGCAGGCTCCCAGCTGAGCAGAGAGCCCGATGCGGGGCTTGATCCCAGGACCCGAGATCATGACCCCAGCTGAAGGCAGCGGCTTAACCCACTGAGCCATCCAGGTGCCTCGTATCCTTCCATTTATTTTTGATTTCTTTTACCAATGTTTTATGGTTTTCGATATACAGATCTTTTATCTCCTCAGTAAATTTATTTCTTAAGTATTTATTTTTTGATGTTATTGTAAATGAGATTTTCTTGATTTCTTTTTTTAATACTTCATTGTTAGTATATAGAGATGCAACTGATCTTTTTTATTTTAATTTCATTTTAAGCATTTATTTAAATTCCAGTTAATATTAGTTCCAGGTGTACAATTTAGTGACTCAACAATTCCACAAACACCTGGTGCTCATCACAACAAATGATCCTTGATCCCTATCACCTATTTAACTCACCCCCTCATCTACCTCCCCTCTAGTAGCCATCAGTTTGTTCTCTATAGTTAAGAGCCTGTTTCTTAGTTTCTCTCTCTCCTTTTTTCCTCATTTGTTTTGTTTCTTAATGCTCATTTGTTTTGTTTCTTAAATTCTAAATGACTGGAATCATATGGTATTTGTCTTTCTCTGACTGACCTATTTCGCTTAGTATAATACACACTAGCTCCAATCACATTGTTGCAAATGGTGAGATTTCATTCTTTTCGATGCCTGAGTAATATTCCATTATGTATATATATACATAATGGAATATTATATAATATTCCATTATGTATATATATACATAATGGATAGATATATCTATCTATATCTATATATATCTATATGTCTATCTATCCATTATGTATATATATACATAATGGGATATTATATATATAATATCTATATATAGATATATCTATATATCTAGATATACCTATTTTACATCATGATGACTATAGTTAATAATAAGGTATTGTGTACTTGAAATTTGCTGAAAGTAGATCTTGTGTTCTATGTACACACACACAAACACACACACATATAATACATATAATATATATATTATATAGATATATATAATAATATCTATATTATATATAGATATATCTATATATAGATATATCTATATCTATTATATATATAATATCCCATTATGTATATATATACATAATGGATAGATAGATATATCTATATATATCTATATATTATATATATACATAATGGATAGATATATCTATCTATATATATAGATAGATAGACACATACATAGTGGATAGATAGATAGATATCTATAGATAGATCTATCTATCTATCCACTATGTATGTGTCTATCCACTATCCACTATCCACTATGTATGTGTCTGTCTATCTATATATATATATATATACACACACACACATAATGGAATATTACTCAGGCATCGAAAAGAATGAAATGAAATGAATGAAGATGTGGTGTGTATATATTACATATATATTTACATACATATTATATATATAATATATATATATATACCACATCTTCATTCATTCATCAGTCAATGGACATTTGTACTCTTTCCATAATTTCGCTATTATTGATAATGCTGCTTTAAACATCAGGGTTCATGTACCCTTTTGAAATAGTATTTTTTGTATCCTTGTTAGTACCTAGTAGGGCTATTGCTGGATTCTAGGGCAGTTCTATTTTTAACTTTCTGGGGAAACTACAAACTGTTTTTCAGAGTGGCTGCACCAGTTTGCATTCCCAGAAACAGTGCAAGAGGGTTCTCCTTTCTCTGCATCCTCCCCAACACTTATTGTTTCTTGTATTGTTAACTTTAGCCATTCTCACAGGTGTGAGGTAGTATTT